TAAACCCTAAACCCTAAACTGTATCCGACAAGGACCCAGTCCTTAGAGATTAGCATCCTCTGCTCGGTGGTTTTGGTCTCTCGCCTGGCGAAGACGACCTGCTCAGAAGGATGTCACGGGGCGTTTCACAGGGCTTTTTTTTGCCGGGCTTGATGAGTTTTTTTACAGGGTCTATGGGGTTTTATAAGGGGGTTTATAAGGATTTTACCAGCAATGTACAAGGGTGTATGGGGCTTCACTCTCGTTCCTAGAGTTTCCGAAGCCTCTTGATCCAGGAATACACCTTCAATCATATTGGGGATCCCTCTGGGCCTCTCTGAAACCCTCAACCCTAAACCCTAATGCTGCTCAAGTTTAGAGGTTCAGCGGGTTTTGGGTGTAGGGCTTGGGGCTTTGGGACTCTTGTTGTCATAAGGTTTAGGGTGTTTTGTGTGTGTGTGTCTGTTTCTTTAAAGGGGGGGAGGGAGGGTCGAGGCTTCGTGAATTTTAAAGGCTGTAGGGGCCCTTCTCCAGGGAGTAGGACTTGGGGACTTGCAGGGTGGAGCCTCTAACGCCTAGGGATGCCTAGTTTTCAAGCCTTGCCCTGGGGTTTGTTTCAGGGACTCCAGACGTAAAGGTTGGAAGACAGAAGCTGACACCTAAACCGCCTAAAACCCGACCGAATCCAGGCCATCCTCGGCTAAAGCCTGAATCCCTGAATGCCCCTACTAAAGTCTCTTAGGCTTGGGCTGTACAGCTTTGACCTTCTCGGGTTCCCTTGTTGGGGCCATATTAAAAGTGATCATGTTTAATCCTTACCAGGGTTTTATGATAACAAAAATGTAAAACTGTATCCAACAAGGATCGAGTTCTGTCTCCTCGGAATTCAGGAGCCGCAAGTGCATGAACCGAAACAGGACTTTGGTTGTCTGTTTCTAGGGCCTCGGGCTAAGGGAGCCCAAAAACCCTAAACTGTGGCTGTCTCCTAAATCTTGGCATTACGGTGTGGGACTTTTTCCTAACGAGGTAGATGCAGGGTTGTATGTTTGAGGCAGAGGATCAGGTCCAGTTAGGAACAAGTACCACCCACTGATCCTATCATTTGGACATGTAGTTGGGTCCCTTACATTTCTGAAAACCTAAGGATACTCTTCAGGACACTACAGGAAGTTTCTTGATGTTAAAATGCGTGGTTTAGGGCCTTCGCTCTAGTTAGCACTTATGGCCAAAGAGTCTTCAACTAGACCCTTTGCGCCGCAAGGGTCTGACGATCTTTCCCACGGCCGCGCATGCACATGTCCGCGCGAGTCGCACAAAAACCCACAGAAGTATGCGGACGTCCCCTAGAATCCAGAATCACAATCTGCCCAGGGCCGTTGATACGGGTTGGACTGTGTAGTTCTTTACAGCGTCTTCTCCGTCCCATCTTCCAACCTTCGTAACTTGCGGGCCTGCAAGATTGTCGCTGCCTCGGTTTCTGGCACACCGGTCGAAAAGAGCTGAAGCTTCAATGCGATCTCAGGCCATTTGCTGTTGAGATCTGTGTAGGCCTGAAGCTTGAGCACCTCTGCAAGGTTGTCTCCTGGGTTGTAGCTTGGGGGCCCCTGAAAAGTATTTTTCAATAGGTACCTCTATAGAAACCATAAGGGACATGTTAAAGTTTCCCAAATGGCCACCCAGTCTCTGATGTAGGAGAGACAGGCCTTCTCGAGCTGTGTGGCCTCGAAGATATGCGCCTGGCGGAGGACGCTGCAGACCTGCTCGGCGCTGAGTTGCTTGCAAAGCTGCGCTTCGCACCACCGCTGCAGGCGTAATACCTGAGTAGGTGTCAAGACAGCCCCCGGCCTTACCGAGCAACTCCACGAATGCCTAAACACAGTATGTATGTAAAGGTTACTTATAGATGGGTGTGTATTCTACTTCCACTGGGTCTTCGCACATGGCAGGAACGGAATAACCCTTACTGAAATTTTGCTGAATGCACATTGTGGGTCGCAGCGAAGACGTGAATTCTCTTGTGAGTGGTTTTCCTACATATTCACGTTACATCAGTGAGGTTCCCAGTGATAGAAAACACCACAACGGCCATGACGACCAAGACGATCACCAGGACCACCACGACCACCAGAAGACCACTGAGAGACCACCAAGAGACACCCGGAACCAATGCTTCCCCCAAGCCGGCCGAGTTGTCAAATTTACAAACAGCATATATGCATACATCATACATATACATATAATTACATATATATATATATACATATTACCTGCTCCAGGATCGACCCATGTACGCAGTGCCGAAAATCCAAGAAAAGCCGCACAGTTCCATTCTTCTTCAGCACGGGAACCAGAACCCTATACCCCAACGGATCATCAGTTTTTGCATGCCATTCCTGGTGTCTGAACGCACTACATTCAATTGTCATCCTCATGTCCTGCTCCTCTGTTTTACCATCGTCTTGTCCTGTCGGTCGCCCATCGCAGTCGTTCGTGCCGAGCCAAAGTGCGTGTGTTTATGTATGCATGTACATGTCTGTGAGTGTGTGCGCTTGCGGGCGATGCATATACATGAATATGAAACTTTGACAAATCTGTGTCAAGTGGTGAAGGGGCCTTTGACAACACCCCGCCTGATACTTATGGCTGACGGCCCACAATGCCTCCATCTGTGAGGGATGTCGACTGCCGACTTCCTTCTCAGCTTGGCTCGCTTGCTCTGTTGCAAGGTCCTGGATAGTCGGAAGGTTGTCAGTGTATAGAAACTTTAAGAAGGATTTGAAGGTGGCCACATTGCAGTCTTCAACCATGACCACCTTGGACATGGACTCCTGCATTCCTGAGCTCAGCTGCTTTCTGAGCACCTCCGACCTCGCGCAGAGAACTTGCGAGTGTGCGCGGATGTCCTCGCCCTGCACGCTGAACCGTACATCACTGCTGCTAGCTTCCTCGAGCAGAGTTTCCATGTCACGATGCAGGCTCGGCTCTGGCACATCCACGGACTCTTTGAATGGAAACTCGGTCACTTGGGTTCCAAGCGGACGGACTTCCAAGACGAACTTCAAAGTCAACGTGTCGTCCGACACCCACTCTGATTGCAGAAGCTGCTCGTGCGTTAGGCCGAAGATTCCGATCGCTGACGGAGCTGAGCCCTTTACATGCACATCTGGGCCATAGACTTCAACTGACGTACCATGCCGGATTACATCCCACTGGACGAAGGACCCGTCCCGTCTTTGGACAAGGATGCTGTAGCGAAAGGCAAGGGGAGTTGCTGGATTTGGGGGGTATGATCGGATGGCAAGGGATCCGAACTTCGGCTCGTCAGTGTAATCTTCGATGCGATTGCCTAACGGACTGTAGATGACTTCGAACTTGTACCTGTCCACAAAGAAGTCGGGAGAAGTCACATAGCTGCCGCATTCTTGGCTAAGCGCTGTTCGAAGCCACGACATCGCGACCAGGCTCCAGGTGTACTCTCCCTTTACGATCTGGTGGCCAAAATGAACAGAGCCACCATCATGCCCGGGCAGGTTGGCAGCTGGGACGACGCGATCTAGATTGATTTGATCTCGAAAATTTCCAGCTCTGTCCATATCTACGGCTCTTCGGAAATCTTGCTCCAAGCTATTCTCATTCACAGCGTTGTGCAGATTCGCCTGCTGAGCTTCCAGCTCTCGTCGCAGCTTTTGCCGCTCGAGGGCCTCACGACTCTCGGCTGCGAGTTCTCGACTCGCTTGTAGGGCGGCTTGCACCTGCGTTTTGGTGGCTTCGATCTGCGCACGCAGCTCCTCGGCCGTCATGGCTGCGCCAAGTGCTCTGGCAATCTCGCTCGAGCCCTTACTACGGTCATCCAACTGATTGGGCAAGTCACTAATACTCACGGTTTCGGGTTTAGACTTTAGACTTTAGGGTTTAGGGGCTGCTTCTTTTAACCTCAAGCATTCAAGGCTCCTGGCCAAACGGCGTTTCAGTCTGATTGGGACCATGGGCAGGCCAAAGTCTACTTAGGCGCTATGGCAGGCTAGGGTTTACGGTGCAGGCTCCTAGAAAATGGGTGGCTTGCGGATGCTTCGCGCTCGACTTCCCTATACTTGGCCGTCAGGGATAATGCTTTCTAGCTTTTCCTTGAAGGGTTTAGGTGGCTCCGCTGCTTCTGCAGATTTCAACCAGGTTTCCGTGATCGGGATCTTGGGAGAGTGGTATGACGGGGGGGGCTGGGATTTCGGGATAACCATAGACCCTAAACTCTCATTCCTGGACTTAGGGCCTTCGGGAAGTCACCCGCCCCATAAACCCCAAAAGCCCTTAGGCCGTAAACCATAAACAACCCTGATGTAGAGACCCTGTTCAGGGCCTCAAGTCGCATCCGAAAAGGTCCCCCTCAAACCCTAAACTTGACAAACCCCTAAACAGGACATCCCTCAACGCTCAAGACCTGAATCCTTGAAACCCTAAAACCCCTTAGACCCTGGAACCCTAAAGTTTGGCCCTAAAGCCCTTGAACCTCCCAACTTCTCCGCCTCCTCCCGCAGAAGCGCGAAGTGAAGCTCGTGGGAAGCGAGCGCCAGCATGATCAGATCCTCGGGTTTGGGGCTACAGGGCTATAGGGTTTAAGGCTATAGGGCTTGCGGCTTAGGGTTTAGGCTTTAGGCTTTAAGTTTCGGGGCTACAGGGTTTGGGGCTTAGGGCTTAGGGCTTAGGGCTTATAGGTATTAGGCTTTAGGCTTGAGGCGTATAGGGTTTAGGGCTTGGGGCTTAGGGTTTAGGCGGTTTAGGCTTTAGGTTTGAGGCCATAGGGTTGAGAGTTATAGGGTTTGGGGCTTAGGGCTTAGGGCTCAGGCGGTTTAGACTTTAGGTTTGAGGCTATAGGGTTTAGGACTATAGGGTTTAGGGTTTAGGGCTTAGGGCTTATAGGGTTCAGGCTTCAGGTTTGAGGCCATAGGGCTTAGGGGTATAGGGTTTAGGGGTAAGGGCTTAGGGCTTACGGTATAGGCTTTAGGCTTTAGGTTTCAGGTTTGAGGCCATAGGGTTGAGGGCTATAGGGTTTAGGGCTTAGGGTTTAGGCTTTAGGTTTGAGGCCATAGGGTTTAGGGCTTGGGGTTATAAGGCCCAGGGTTTAGGGTCGGCACTCTCGTGTCTCAGGGCTCTGCGGGGTAATCTCGAAAAAAGGAGCTCTACGAAGGGGGTTTGTATAGGGCTTTAGGTCTCATAAAAAAAAAAAAAAGCTCTAAGTCGTTCTGGGGCTCCTGGAGGGATATAGGCAGGGTGTCTAACAGGGTTTAGGGTTTAGGGAGGGTTTTCGAGGATTTTTATGTTAACAGGATCTTTATCGAATCATCTCTGACCATCCCTTTCCGTGCTTACTTCACTTCTATTCCCATACCGACATGCGCATCCACGTCAGAGTCTAGGTATGGGAGAATGGGCCGTAAGAAGGACACTTCAGAGGACCCTTCAACAAGAGGCCCTCATTTACAAACCCCTCATATCAGCCGTATACACCCCAATAACCCTTATTACAACCTCATACAACCCTTCTAGATCACTGTAGAGCCCAGGTAAAGCTCGTCAAGATCCCCCAAAGACGGTTCTAAACACCCTGACATACCCAGTAAGCCTAGAACATCTCGAAACCCAAAGTCCAAAATCCCAAAGGCCGAGGGACTGCGTCCAGGCCGTAAAGGCAGTGTCGTGTGTTCGGGTCGTAGTCTGGCTGCGCCTGGAGCAGAGAGCTTAGGGATCTTGGGGTGTGGGGTGTAGTGTAGGGGCCTTCAGAAATAGGGTTTTGGGGGTTCCTTTTCAGAATTATGGTATAATAGACCCCCAAACCCTAGTCTAATTATTAAGGCCCCTATAGTAGGGGTGTCGGGGTCAGGGTTTAGGGCCTTGGGGCTTAGGGTCTTAAGGTTGAGGGTGTAGGGTGTAGTAGAGGACCGCAGAACAAGGTATACAAGGGTTGACTGCGTGCCGCATGTAAGTGGTCATGAGCTCTGCTGTGGGTAGCACATCCATGTCTTCTGGATCAGAGGAAGTGGCTGTAAGCTTCGACACTTCGGCGTTGCATGCTCTTCCCTGCTTCCCATTCCACTAGTCGTTTCCTCTTACTCTTCCTGTTCCTCCTCCTCGTTCCTCCTCCTCCTCCTCCTCCTCCTCGTTCTCGTCCTCCTCCTCCTCCTCCTCCTCTGCGTCTTCCACTCCCTCTTCCTCTTCCTCCTCCTCCTCCCCCGCTCCTCCGCCTCCTCCTTGCCCGTCTTCTCCTCTTGCTTATGGCTGTCACCATCATCTTCACCATCACGATGGCATTGCCAGCCCTCGCAGAAGCAATGGAAGTGAAAGTAAAAAGTAACACCAAGATGACAATGAAATCGTCAACAGCATCACCAACATAAGCGACATGTTCACCATCACCATGGTGGCTGTGGTGGCTATGGTAGCTGTGGTGGCTGTGGCGATGTTGGGTGGCAGTGAAGGTGATGGTGGTGACGGTGGCGATGATGGCGTGACGGCGACAAAGACGATCTTCATGATCACCCGTTACTACGGCTTGCAAATCTCAAGGTGGACACCCTAAACCCTAAACCCGAAACCCCTAAACCCCTAAACCCCTAAACCCCTAAACCCCTAAACCCTAAACCCTAAACCCCTAAACCCTAAACCCTAAACCCAAGGTGGACCTTGGAGGCGCGGATGTAGTCCATGATCTTGTGCTCGCCTTCGCCCGGTGTGTCCGGACCCGACAGGACAATCGTCACCTGACGGCTGTATGCAAAAATGGGCTGCAATGTCTAGGGTTTCGGGTTTAGGGTTTAGGGGTTTAGGGGTTTAGGGTTTAGGGGTTTAGGGGCTTAGGGGTTTAGGGGTTTACTGTTTCGGGTTTAGGGACTAGGATCGGCGGCTGCGCCTCTCCGAGTTAGAGGTACATACGTCTCACTGAACTGGGAAGTGATGCACGTCTACGCCGGCTCGCAAAAAAGGTAGCGCGGGTGTCGGGGCCAAGAACTTTACAGCCCTAAACTCCACAGCGCCTGTAGCTCTAAAGCAACCGATCACCCTAAAACCCAAAAGCTCCAAAACCTAAGACGCAGAACCTTAATAGGAGCTCTGAGGTCAAGGCCTGTCTGTATGTATGTATGCATGCGCGCATATACATACACACATACATAATCATACATACACACACGTGGCCCAGGGTCGTTCAAGATGAGGCATCTGTATCCAAGATTTCGAGGCTCCTCAGGAAACCCTGGATCTGGGATCTGTCCATTGCCAGCGTGGCACGATACGCTCCACTATGAACTGCAATCTAAGTTGCTCAACTTGAGCCTGTCAGGTGGAACACCATACCCTCGACCCGGAAGCCGTAAATCCCCCAAAAAACGTAGCCCTAAACCCTCACCTAGCCCCACAGCCCCCAACTTTATACACCTTATGCCCTTAAAACCTAAAGCGCCGGTAGAAACTGTAGCATGGGCTCCCTTAAACCCTAAACCCTAAACCCAAAAAAGTAGCCCTAAACCCTCACCTAGCCCTACACCCCCAACTTTATACCGCAGAGGTTGCAGAAAAACCACCGCCTGCTGCCAGCGCGGATCCTCCTCCAAGGGGTGGAAACCGGTAGCTTGTGAGATTGGGCCTTGCGGTTTAGGGCTTGGGGTTGAGGGTTTAGGGGTTTGCGGTTTAGGGCTTGGGGTTTAGGGTTTAGGGGCTTGCGGCAGTTTGCGATTTAGGGCTTGGGGTTTAGAGGGGTAGGTTTGGGATTTGAGATGCAGATGCGGCATGTCTTGTGACACGGTCCAACGTGTGGCAATATGGGGGGCTGGAGGCCTTTTAATTAGAATAGGGTTTTGAGGTTTGAGGGACTCTACAGAATGATAACAGACATGACAATAATTACCACTATCAGGAAGAACATGGGCCTTCATAATTAGAATAGGGTTTGGGGGGCATAATATACTATAATTATAATAAGGAACCCCCAAAGTAGCACGGGAAATTATTAAGGCCCCTACATTACTTCTTCAGGCTTCTATGTTCGCCAGCTCCTGGATCTTCTTACAGATGAAGTAGCGCAAGTGGGTCGTCAGCTTGGCCATAAACTCCGTGCCTGGGCCATTAAAGGGGACACAGGGTTTAGGGTTTAGGGGTTTAGGGGTTTAGGGTTTAGGGTTTAGGGAATTGGTTTTAAAGTGCTGTGGGACTTTCTCTCTGCTGAGGTTTAGGGGTTTAGGGTTTAGGGGTTTAGGGTTTAGGAAACGGAGAATCCTGCGCGCTTGGTCCTAAACTTTCATCCCGACAAGCCCGAAGACCTACAGCCAATTCTAAACCCTCTACAGCCAATTCTAAACCCCAAGCCCTAAGCCCTAAACCCCAAACCCCAAAGCTCCTACATCCCAAAGCCTAAAGCCTTAACCCTACAAGCTCATCTGAACGCTAAAGTTCTTGAACCCTACTT